AAGAAAGATTTGACCTAAGCTTGTTTAGGGAGTAGTCTACCGCTCCTAAAGAAGAAACAATGTCCAACCGTTATTGTGGTCTAGCCATGATTGGTAATGCCCTATATGGACCATAGGGCATTACCAATCATGGCTAGAGCGCGAATGATATGGCAATGATAATAGGATATTAACAACCTTTTTTAGACTACGACCTGTACTTGTTTAAGGAGTAGTCAACCGCTCTTTAAGAAGAAAGTATGACCTAAGGCTTATTTTGGGACTAGTCTACCGCTCCAGAAGAAACTGAGAAAAATTAAGGTGTGATTTTAAATTGCAAACAAAATTGACCGCGTTTCTACTTTACATTATACTTCATATTTTAATTTAGACTTTTGTTAGGACAAGAATTTAATAGGGTTACGACACGCCATTGTAAAAATATTTTTTTTAAATTACCGAGAAAGTGAAAGTTTGCTTGAATAACACACAAAAACTGTCAAAATTCTTCAATGACGTCAATACTCCGTACTGTTACTATTATATTTAACAGAACGCTCCAGAACGATCCATTGAAAGCTGAAAAATTGATGGTACACAAAAACAAAACAGAAAAAATAAGCGTAAATAAATTTTTGCAACTGATGTGAAAGCGGCTTTACAAATAAACTATAAGGATATGCTAATAAGCACACGGTGTGAGTGTGGCTTTGCAATTGCACAAAACAATAAGCTAATACGCACACTGTGTGTAAGCGGCTTCACAATTATACAAAACAATATGCTAATGCGCACAGAGTTAATGGGTATACAAAAGAAAATTTAAATTTACCCACAAAAAAAAAGTACAACTTATAACTACAGTTGGTCCTATGTTGGCTTATGGGCACAACTGGTCAATTAGGCTCAACTCACACTGGCGCAAAGTCGAAGCGTCACGTCACATCCTGTTTTTCAACTACAACGCTTAGCGACGCCGACGTGCGTCGACGTCGTCGCGCGACAATGCGCGCTAACTAATGCTCGCAGCCGGATCACAGTGTGGTCGGCGTCTGGCGCTCAAATGACGCGCGAAGCCGCTCCACTACATTCAAACGTCGACGCGCGTCATCGCCCGTTTCCATATTTGCATAACACAAATTTGTACCTTAACAATGAGAAAATAGAGGTGAATATACTATAAACGAAAAACATGATGCGTCGCGACGCTTCGACTCTGCGCCAGTGTGAGTTGAGCCTTAGACGGCTTTTACGTCACGCTGTCTAGCGGCGGTAGGGAACAATATTCTAAACCCGTCCCTACACGGGGAAACTGTACTTGTATGGAAAAACAACAAAAAAAACGTCGTTAACAACAAAAAAAACAATTTTACTCAAGTACAGAAACAAGTACAGTACAGTACAAAGTTTAGTACGGTAAAAAAGTAAAATCTAAGCACTGCTTTCACCTCAGTTGTTGCAAACACAAACCAAAAAACAAAAAAACAACGTTTCATAGGACAACCAGCGACCAAACAAAATACTAACTACTTAACTAAGAAGCGGAAAACAATCTACCACGTATAAGGGCGCCAATGTTCTAAGGCAACAAGAACAAAAACCAATCATTTTTCAAAATATCAGTGGACTGACGTCAGCCTCGTCGGTCCACTGGAAGGGCGGTGCGTTTTTTTTACCGGATGTCAGTCTATTCAGCGGTCCTGCGAATGTGCTAAAATTGGGAACAATCCGACCATACCAAGTAGCCGTCCCTAGAAAACGTTTCAGCTCCTTGCGAGTTGCGATTGGTAGGGGTAGTGTAATGTGACCACAACCACATTACGACATTTTTATCAATAAGAC